CCTACACGATGGCATCAAGGACTATGACATATACTGGGTCATTACTATTCTTTAAGAATTTTAAAAGTTTGAAATTTAAATGCTCTTACCACCCTAACTGCATGGCAAGCACATTCTAAAATTTTACACTGAAAACAATGTATTGACCTCAGCTAATCCATTTTAGTAAAACAACATAGTAGACAAGCATTGTAATAAAAGAAAGGAGTCTGAAGGTCTTTCATTTACAGTAGGAATTATGAAATGTTTTGAAAAATTTGGAAAATATTTTAATCATTAGAAATCCTTTTAAACCATAGACAGGTAGACATGTACAGCAAGCAATGTCCAAAGAAGAGTACAAAACCATTGGCATTTTGACTTTAATCTTGCTTTCAAATTTACAGATATAGTCTTCAAAAAACAATATAGTGGCTCAATGCATGAATTGTGATGCAGCTGTATAAGCAACAAGAGCTCATGACCTGTAGGTTGCAATGCAAGGAAGCAACCTTACCTTATGTAGAATGGATTGTTAGTTAATGTTATTTTAATTAGGTTTTAATTTTGTTAGCAACATTTTAATTTGAGATTATTTTTCTATTTAGGGAGCACTCCACCCTAGAGGAGTTCTCTAGATTTATCAGGGAGTACCCTGCCAATAGTAGCTCACCCTCTACAATTAAACTCTGTCTGAATAAATTTATGTACCTATCAATAGCAGTTTGGTAACATGCTGACCATAAAGTTCATGGCCTGAAAAACCAATCATAGGCCCAAGACTTACAAAATATCAATCATTAAATAATTAAGTGCATTATCCATATAGAAGAAAATTATACCCGCATCTATTAGAACATTCTATCCTTCTTTCACGTGTCTGAACTCTGAACATTAAAAAGGTGCTTGACATACAGATTTGTGTTCTAAACTTTTTGTGATAAATAATTGAAAATGAAATATATTTTGAATTTTCAAAGTCTAGAACTAGTTAAAAAAAATCAATAGAAGGGACTTAGACTACGGGTGTCAAGAAAAAAAAAACATAAGATACCAAAAAAAGCAAGAATGCCAGTCAGGTATCCTAAGATAAAATATGGCAAAGAAAAATGTCAGAAGAATGCAACCAAACCAGAAGCTAAGCCAATACAATTAAACTATAGATGCAGTTATATAGCATACAAAATATCTTTGAAGAAAACTTACATGAATTATGAGAACTGGACAATTAACTTGAGGAATTTTGTCAATATTCTGCATATCAACACAAAGCAGCATCTAATTAGATTAAGGAATTCACAAGTATGATAAGAAATAAAAACAGCATACTACCTTATATATGTCAAACCAGTATGTACGCTTTACTGGATACATGACCCTTAAGCCAGACAGTATAGGACTGTGCAGGACAACAGCTCTTAAATGAGGCAACCTAGCTGCAAGATCCAAAGTTGGGCCACTGCCAACAGATTGTCCATACAGGATTATATCTTCCTGCTTGGCACCAAAACTTTCTTCTAGACACTTATATGCAGCCTCAATATCTGAATATGTATTCTGCTCACTTGGCTACAGTTCAGGCAAAACAATGTTCATCAGCATGGATGTTTACAGCTCTACCACCATCCAAATTTACAACATGAACAAGCATTTCATATTATTAGCAGAACACAAACCTTCCCTGATGACTGTCCATACCCAGAATAGTCATACCTGCACAACATCATAGATTACCATGAGAAAAACTCCCATTTCACACTCCATCTTTCAGCTTGAACTCAATCAACAATGTTCTCTCTAAACAAATGCTCTACGCATAAAGTACATGTACTTCCACAATTTTTGGCAACAAAGGGTAGTCCAGTATCAACAAATTAGATCAATTTCACAAAGTTGAGCTAAGTTACCCTGTTTGTGTTGCTCTAATGTCACGATCAGGGACTTGAATTACGAACACTTAATAATAGCCACTTATAGAGGAAGAAAACAAGGTAAAATGAAATAAGCTACATCAATAAGTTAAAATTAACTCATATAAAAGTTAATTTATAGCAACTCTCACATTTAACTTTTTAAAAAGGTTATTTTAACTTATACATAAGTTAATTTTAACTTATGGAAGAATATTAATTCATTTACCACAAGTGCTTACGAGGTAGATCATCTAAAGAAAGTTTAACACACGAGCTGAGACACAGTAGTAAAGGTAGTAAACTGACACCAATTAATTATATAAACGCATTACGTTAGGGTGATTACTATATATGCAACGTGTAACCACACGGTTGATATTAAGAATAAAGATTAACAAGTACTATAACAATAACCAACAAATCCTTCTTCCCAGTGGAACCGGATTCATGATTTCGGTTCGAGTTTTATGCATAGAAATAACATGATTGGGTGAGAAGACACATTTAAAGGTGATCAGTTAGACTTTCCTACCAAAATTAGACATCAACAAAGTCAAAGTCTGTGAATACTTCTCACAACTAAAGATGTATTTTAGAAATTAGTTGAGGTAAACTCAATTGGAGTTGAAAAAACATGCACACTCAAGTGTTTTTACTCTCTTCTTTCTTTCTTTTTTTTTTTTCATTGGAGGGCATGTTCATGAAAATAACTCAAAAAAGAAGACGAATTCAAGTATACTACAACACCCAGAAAACAGACATTCACAGACAACCATAACAGAAGACAAATTCAACAGCTTGGAACGAATTTGAAAAACCAAAATTTGCAGAAAGTGCAAAAGAGAGAGAGAGAGAGAAAAGGGAGGAAGCGAGCGACCCCATGAGGTTAACGCGCAAGTGGATGCTGAGCTGGATGAAGAGCTCATACATCTGGCCGAGATCAGCGGCGTTGCCGTGGGAGTAGAGCACGGTGGAGGTGGCCATGGGATGCCGCACGTACACCGCCACAACCTCCGTCCCCCGCCGCGTCGTAAGCTTCACGATTTCCACGTTCTCGCGGTGCGGGAACGGCGTCAGGAGGAGCAGCCCCGTCAGCTCGTCCGTCACCACCTTGTACGACGGCGGGCTCGGCGGGAAGAAGGCGAACTTCGCCGCCATGGATGACGTCACCCCTCCCATCCCCTCAAACGCCAGTTGCTTCCTTCAGATCTTGGCGGGTTTCTGTTTCTAGAAAG